GAAGAAATAAACTTTAACTAAAAAAAAAAAAAAAAAAAGTAAGTGTAAGAATTTTACTTTTTACTATTATTTTTATTATTAAATTAATGGTGAGCAGGCATTGCATATGAAAGAAAGAGAGAGAAAGAGAGAAGCACCCTCCACAGGGTTTGGTCACATCATAATCTCCTTCCTCCAGTCCTTCCACCAGCCAGGATCCTGGGCATGCACGCTGGTGCCCAGGGTGTTCTCACACCAACTGGACTGTGGACTCGAACTGTGATGAGCATGTGGCTTCCAGCTCTGTAGTGTGGCACATTACCAACTACTCTACAGAGGCTGAGCTGCAATTGCATTTTGATGAGTGTTTAATGCTCTGTTTGTTCAGCTATGGAGTGAAAGTATATCCTCACTTTAAAAATACAGCATAATAGGGGCTGGCAGGTGGCGTGGTGGTTAAGGGTGCTGAACTCCCATATGGCTGATGGCGGTTCAAGTCCCAGACTTGGCAGCTTGCTTTCTTACTTTCTCTCTCCCACTCTGTCCCTCTCTGGTCAAATTAAAAACAAACAAACAAAATAAATAGAAGTTAGATAATGTAATTCTTTAAAAAAAATACAACATAATAAAACCTGGACTTTATGAAGGGATCCTACCTGTATTCATCATGTAAGTGCTCTTACGTTTACTCTACAGTTAAACTGTTTGGAAAAATCTAGGGTAGAGAGAAGGGAGGATCAAAAAAAGTAGAATCAGAAAATAGCACAGGTGGGAGAAGTATTGCTGAGATAAGATAAAAAGGTCCAGTTCAGAAAATAAACTAGAAAAATAACACATTGTGTGGAACTGAATCTCACCAAACTACCACCTGCGCCAAACTTCTTCCTGTGAGACCTGGAGTACCAGAGTGTAGGAAACTGATCTCCCCACACTTTAAAAAGAGGAAAGGGGGGGAAAGAAAACCACCCTGCCAAGGCCTCGTGCCATTAAGGAGATTACTCTATACAGGCCACCCAGCAACAAAGTCACATTACATGTGGCTTTAAACAATCCACCCTGCAGGTAACCCTGGCATAGCTTAGTCACTGTTGAAACTATTACCTCCTACAAAGTATTACATGTTGTCTGTATGGACACACCAGGGTTAAGGCTTCTGTAACCGTTAAAAAGCTGCTGGGCAGAAGCCCATTTTCCAGATTGATGTAGAGAAGACAATCAAAAGAGAAAGAATATAAACATGTGTTCCTATTTTTTTCCTGATTATAGGTATGGAAGATTTTCATTTTAGAAAATGTTAGAAATCGAGTAGAAAGCAGAAAAGGCCCTCTTTCCTTCAGTGAACTCAAGGCCATACTGTTAATAGTCTGGCACATTCTGTTCAGTTTGGGGTTATTGTTAACAGTCTCTTTGCAAGCAAATATCTGCGTGATTGTATACCCATAACAATTGACTTAAGAGCTCTCCCATTAGTGAACTATCGGGCTGATACTAATTTTGCGCTGTTATAGTAATACCATGATGTATGTCTCTGGACAATTTTTGATAATATCCATAGGAGAGATTCCTGGAAGTTAAATCGCTGAATCGAAGGCTCTTGATTCACTTTGCCAAATGACTTTCCAGAAGGCACGGATCAATTTCTACCCTCACCAGCAGAGTATGAATGCCTTGTTCATTTCACCCATGCCAGTACTAAATCAGAGCTTACAACAGAAACAAAATTTCCCTAATTTACAGCTGAAAAACAAGATAGCTGTTTCAATTTGCATGTGAGGCTGGAATGAAAATTCAGTTTATTGGCCATCTGTGTTTTTCTTGTGAATTCTCTGTTCATATTTTTTTTTAACCTATTTTTCCGGTTGAAGTTCTAGTATTTTTATTTTTTATGAGCTGTGTGTTTAGAAAGGATGTAAAATAATTGATTTCTTATTTGTTTCTCTGTTAGTACTTTATTTTTTAACTTACAGAAATTTGAAGTCTTTTAGTCGACTCTCTTTAAGATCTTTTCTGTTGCTCCTCATTGTTAGAAAATTGTTACCTTTCTGATCAAATGTATTTTCCTCTAGCTTTTTAATCATATGCCTTTTTTATTTTTTAGGAGAGGTTTTTGCTATAGGGCATGCGTGCTCGCCAGAAAGAGAGACAGAGAGACAGAAAGTGAAAAATCACCCCCTGGGGGGATGGCCATGCCTCAATCCCCTCTCCTCCATTCTCCTCTCAGGATCTTGGGCACGCACACACATGTGCCCGGCATGAATTTAAGCCACCACATCCGGGACTTGAACCATGGTCGACTACATGGGAATCCAACGACATAGCCATTATGCCAACTGCTGGTCCGGATATGCCTTTTAAAAAATATTCAACCTGACAACCTATTTGCACATGTTACGAAGTCAGGGTTTCTCCCACACAGTCCCACTTGAAAGCTAACTTTGTTACAGCAGGATCATTACAAGACTCCACTGATTTGCTATGCTTTACTTATATTACCTTCCTTACACAGAGTCTGAGCTTAATTTATTTTACTGTCTTAATTGTAGTTTTACAGTGTTTTCTTAACCTAATGTCAAGAATTTTTTTCTTTATGAAAAAAAGTAGCTATTCTTCATGAAAAAAGTAGCCATGAAAAAATGTAGCTATTCTCACTTGCTTATCCTTATAAGTAACATTTAGAATACACTATCCAGCTTTTGAAAACACATCACATTGTGATTCTGACACATTAGCATAATTAATATTCTTTTTTTTTTTTTCTGTTTTTGGAGAGGTTTTTGCTATAGGGTACGTGTGCTCGCCAGACAGACAGACAGACAGACAGAGAGACAGAAAGCAAGGAATCCCCCCCCCAGGGGGTTGGCCACGCCACAATCCCTTCTCCATTCTCCTCTTAGGATCTTGAGCATGCACGCACACGCGCCCGGCGTGAGTTTAAGCCACCAGGTCCGGGACTCGAACCACGGTCGACTATGTGGGAGTCCAGCAACATAGCCATTACGCTAACTACTGGTCCCAGTATAATTAATATTCTTAAAATGCTCTCACACAATTAAGGCATTCCCTTAAGAAACAGACTGCCTACTTCTTTATTCGGATTACCCTTCTTGGTAAAAATTTTAAAATATGTAATTCTCACATATTGCAGGTTTAGAGTATGTCCAAGAAATTTAGATTTCTTTTATAGTGGGAATGAGCGTTCACCTCCTTATATTTTCTAAGGAAGCTGATTTACATCATTAAAAACAAACAGATCTTTGTTGGTTTCTAGATAAACAGTCATTTCACTCGAATACACACAGTGCCCGTCCATAATACCAGCACTCCTATACTTCTGGTATGAGTATAAATTAATCAAAGCTTTCTGGAAAGTAATTTGGCACCCTATATCAAGAGCTTTTGACCTACTAATTTCGCTTCAAGAATCTATTCCAAGAATATTATCAATCAATCATATCATCTGCAAATAATGATAACCTTGGCTTATTTCTATAATCTGTAATTCTACACTGATGTACACTGCTCAGGGCATTGGTAACATTCAGCATTCCCAGAATCCTTCTCGTCAGGATCCTGGGCACTGACACCAGTGTTGTGAGTTTTATGGGTTTTTCCAAGCTACTGGGACTCGAACTGCAGCCACGGGGGATCCAGCTTCCACCACACAACGCTTCACTACTCACTGCATTTCGCTGCCAGCCCATCTTAATGTTTTAAGAGAAATGTCCCATAGGACAATGACTGTCCATTACTTCAGAGTAATAGTCATCTTTAGAATTTAAAGAAAAGATGCCTCCCTATACCAAAGGGATGCGAAATTATGTTTTATGTCATTTCAGAAGTTTACAGGCTATTAAAAGATATCTACACAGGTCATAAACCTAAGTCCTAGCATTTTATCATTCAATGTATAATTCCTTTTTTTTTTCTTTTAACAAATTAAGGAAATATCTATGAATTCTTAGTTTAAGAGTTAGGTTTTCCCCCAGGATTAAGTACTATACTTTATCCTAAATAGCTTTTAAAATAGAATTATTTCTTTAATTTTATTTATTATTGTTATTATTCTTTTTAATTTGACCGGAGACAGAGAGAGAGAGAGAAAGGGAAAGTGAAAAAGCAAGCCACCAAGTCTGGGACTCGAACTGTGGTTGGCCATGTGGGAGTCCAGCACCACAACCACTGCATCACCTACTGGGTCCCTGCAAGTCTTTTTTTTTTTTTTTTGTCAAGTTTTTTTTTTTTTTTTTTTTGCTATAGAGTGCACCTGCTCACCAGAAAGACAGAGAGACAGAAAGTTAGAAATCACCCCCTGGGGGGATGGCGATGCCGCAATCCCTTCTCCATTCTCCTCTTGGGATCTTGGGCACACATGCACACACACCCGTGTGTGCCACCAGTTCCAGGACTCGAACCACGGTCGACTACATGGGAGTCCAGCGACATAGCCTTTACACCAACTGCTGGCCCCATGTAAGTCTTTTTTTAAATAACCATTTTATTTTGTAGCAAAGAATAAAACAGAATTGTGCCACAAAATAGCAACTCATGACTTGGGCCGGTTAACATCAATGTAAGAGTTGCCAGACCACAAAATTCAGCGATTGGAAGAACTACAGATGATACAAATTAGAAACATACCTTAGAACTGCAGCGAATGAAACGATAGTATGCTACACTACTGTATCGCAGTTTGCCCCAGGAAGGACTGAGGCAGCTCTGGGGGAACAGGGACACAGCAGATAAACCTTTCAAAGGGGTTACTTTGAAAACTCACCTTTTCCAATGTGCCGCCTGGTGTTTTCAATAGTGGAATTCCGGTTAACGTTGGACAGCAGCCCAAGGCAAAAGCGGTTCTTGTTGTTGGAAGGATCGGTGAAACCGTCCACCAACACGCTCGTGGAGGAGGCATGGAACGCTTCGCCCACGCGATTGTTGAGCTCATAGTAGACAATAGAGCACCAGTGTTTTGGCTCCTCATAAGCAACCGCCTGAACATCTGTAAGAAAGAAAAGGTTATGTCAACTAAGGTTCGTGCCTCAGGCTCTCAAAAACTGAAACTGTGCTGGAGAATTGGCTCAGGGTCATGAAATGAAGATACGGAAAAGCAACTGCTGTGACGTCCTCGTGTTCCGATGATGTCTAAAGCAGGAACTTCTAAGTGAGATGTTCTCCTTTAATTAGAGAACAATTTTTGCCAGTTATGATCAGATAACCAAAACACCAGGTAAGCAAGCACAGCAGCAGCATTTAGTGAATACTAACAACCTGCTAATTGCTCTGTGATATGCACAAATGGAAATTGCCCTGACCACAGACCCTGGCCCACCATCTAAAGAAACGCCAACAAGTGACAAGTGAAAAAACAAGTGGGGAGAGAACAATTAGAGGAGAGGAAATAATGCCAGACCCTGCTGGCATAAAACGCAGTGACTTTCAGCAAAGCCTCAGTTTGCTTGTGCTTTCTCAACGCCATGAAAATCAGTTCCCAGCTATTGATAAGAAGTTACTTTACTTTATCCTCCGTGGCCAATAACCATTGCAGCGACAGTTTTGCCTCAGTTCTCAAACTCAGGAAGAAGTCTCGCCAGCTGGCCGTTCTTCCAGGATGAATCATATCTCTCTCATCCAGATTTCATGCTAACTTCCTTATATTTGCTTTAAGTCATGCAGAGCAGGTGTGTTTTGTCTCCCCATTCCCAGAATGGGCCAACAATGGAAATTACCCAACTTCACTGACAGGATGCGGCTCGTTAAGTCAAATCTCCTAAGACCAACAACTCTCCAAACAACCTGCTTCTGTATCTTTGCCACGAGCAGGTTTTGAAGAGAAGTTCCTTCTGCTGGAGCACCTCTCCCACCACTGCCTAGGGAGCCCGGAGATACAGGCCATCTATTAATATTTCCAGCATACCAATATGTGATGATCGGAGGTTGACGGTGCCTGGGGTGTCCAATCATTAAAACAGGAAAGAAAACCTGCATCAGAAGCACAAACTATGACTGCTAGGAGAGGAGACCTCTGGGCTTGTTTATTTCTCCCATGACAAAGAGACAGAGAGTCACACCAATAGGGTCTTCACATGGCAATCCACCCCCAGCCTCAGCCAGCCCAGGCTGCAGGTGTGTGCACGTGCCACCCAGGACGTGAACCCCAGCCCGTGGCCACGCGTGTCTTGCACTGCGCAGTGCCAGTTCACAGCTGCATGCTGTCTGGTCCGGTCCTGTGTTCTCAGTACCGATGGTCACAAATATAAAAAGGCGCTCCTCTTTAGAATTTGGCAAAGAAAACAAGGAAAGTTATCACTGAAAACACAACTAAAGTAGGTGAGCTGAAAACACATACTATTTTCTTTGTTGAGCCTTGCTCCTATGTCAATTTACTAGAACTGAAAGAGCAGTATTTTAGTAATTTACAAGCACCAAAATTTTTTTTTTTTAAGTTTCGCTATAGGGTGCCTATGCTCACTGGAGAGAGACAGAGAGAAGGTGAGAAATCACCCCCCATAGGAGGGAGAAGATAGCCATGACACAATCCCTTCTCCATTTTCTTTGGGATTTTGGGCATGCACACAGAGGTGCCCAGTGTGATTCTCAAGCCACCGGGATGGGGACTCAAACCACAGAGTCAGCCATGTGGGATCCAGCTGCCTTAACCTCCATGCCACCTCCTGGCCCACAAGTGCCAAATCTTAAAGAAGCCTGCAACATCATTAATAGAAGGCTTTTAGCAGCTCTCAAGATTATTCAAAGTAACTATTCATCTAGGTAAGGGTTGACACGTTTTCCTGTGAAAGGCCATGGAGATTGTGTAGGTCATACAGGCTCTCCTGCAACTGTCTGCCTCTGCCCTTGCTGCACAAAAGAAGTCAGAGATAATATATAATGAATGAACACAACAGGGTTCCAATAAAGCTTTATTTGCAAAAAGGCGGCAGGCGGAATCAGCCTATGGGTGACAGTTTGCTGACCCCTGCTCTAGGAAAACCACCAAAGGTTAGAAAAATAATAAGCCCCACAGTCCTTCCTCATGAAAATATTAACTGACTATATTTATTTTACTTGGTGAAACTTTAAAGTCCATCTAAAGGAAGAAAATCTTAAAGCTATTTAAAGGTCATTTCCGGAAATCAGACACGTTAGCCGTAACCACAATAGTCACAGGGTCCATGTGCACTAACAGTTTCCCTGTGCTGCACCCACTCTCTGCAACAGTCCTGTTCCCCAAATACAAATTCCCAAGATGCATGTGGTACGTGTTATTTTCCCTAACCAGTCTATTTGCTGGCTCATAATTATGCTTCTATTCTATTTTATTCATCATCATCTCCTTCATTTGATGAGAGAGAGAGAGAGAGAAAGTGAGAAAGTGAGCCATCAGGTCCAGGGTTCAAACCACAGCTAGCTATGTGGGAGTCCAGTGCCTTAATTACCATGCCACCTGCTGGCCCCCATAATGTTTGAGAGGATGTTCTGGAGATGATCAGGAACCATAAAATACACAGCCAGCAACCACCACAAAAGACACGCACATCACTGACCGAAAAGTCAAGTATTCCAGGGACCAGATGGTGGCACAGCAGTGTAAGTGATACTCCGTGAGGATGAGCTACGTGGCCAGTCCCAGGTTCTTGCCTGGAGACCCTCTGTATATGCCAGACATGTGTGTGCCCTTGATCCAGGGCTGGCTGAGGCTGAGAGTAGATCATGGCACAAGACCCTGCTAGAGTTGTTGTTTCTCTCAATAGCTGTCTCTCTCTCATAGAAGAAGTAAATAAACTCCTTTAAAAAGTGTACATTCTGGGGATCAGCAGATGGTGTAATGGTTATGTCACTGAACTCCCACTTAGTTGACCACAGGGTTCGAGCCCTGGACCATGTGGCCTGAAACTCATGCGGGGTGTATGTGCATGCGGGCCTAAGATCCCAAGAGGAGAATGGAGGAGAAGAGATTGGGGCAAGGCCATGCTCCCAGGGGCAGAGGGAGGGGTTGATTTCTTGCTTTCTGTGTCTCTGTCTGTCTCTTTCTCTCTGGCAAATACACACATCCTATAGCAAAAATCATTTTTAAAAAAATGTAATCAACCACAGTTTGAGTCCTGGACCTGGCAGCTTAAAACTCATGCTGGGCATGTGTGTGTGTGTGTGCCCAAGATCCCAAAAGGAGAATGGAGGAGAAGGGATTCAGTGTGGCCATATCCCCTGGGGGAAGGGGTGTGTTTTCTCACTTTCTGTCTCTCTGGCAAGCACATGCACCCTATAGCAAAAATCTGTCCAAAAAAAGAAAGGAAAAAAAGTGTACATTCTGATGCATTATACTACACATCTAAGATAGGTTCTTTAACATCAATTTTGTAATAATACATTTTGTTTTTATTTTTGCCAAAAGGTTCATGTCCTCACCAGAGACAGGCAGACAGAGAAAGTGAGAAATCACCTTCCAAGGAGGATGGCCACACTGCAGTCCCTTTTCCTCCAGTCTCTTCTTGGGATTATGGACACACATGCACCTACCATGAGGGGTCTGGGACTCAAACTGCACAGCCAGTCACTTGGGATCCAGCCCTTTAAGCTCTATGCCACCTGCTGGCCCTAGAGTTTATTTAGTTATTTTTTGGGGGGGATGGGGGGGGGAGGATTTTTTTTGCTATAGGGTGTGTGTGCTTGCTAGAAACACAGAGAGAGACAGAGAGACAGAAAGTGAGAAATCAGCCCCCAGGGGGATGGCCACGCCACAATCTGTTCTCCTCTCTTCTCCTCTCAGGATCTTGGGCATGCATGCACATGCGCCCGGCGTGAGTTTTAAGCCACCGGGTACGGGACACGAACCGCGGTCGACTACGTGGGAGTCCAGCGACATGGCCATTATGTCAACTGCTGGTTCCCAGCCTAGCCCTTTCTTACAGATGCTCAGGAAGTCTACCAAAGTACGATGACCTGAGTTCTCGCCTCGCTTACACCTCTGCACCTGCCCCTGGAAGAATGAAGATACCCTCTGCTCAGTCACTGCTGAGGGTAACAGAGCTGGAAATAAAGACCCACTCTGCTAGGGAGGGAAAGAAATACTCTGTTCTGTGTATAAGCTCTTTAGTGTGAGAAGAAGGAAATCTTGTGCCTCAGAGATTTCTGGTAACAAAGTCAGAAACATAAACAGAAAGGGTGGCCTGTGGCCTATTGGTTAAGGGAGCCAGATGCCACATGGCCTACCACAGTTTGAGTCCCAACCCAGTGGCTTAAAAACCAGATATATGTATGTGTGTACGTGCCCAGAGTCCTGACAGAAGGAGAAAACTCCAACAAGATAGCATAACCACACCCCATCGTGGGTGCTTTCTCTCTCCCTCACTCTGGTGAGCACAAGCACTGCCTTGCAATTAGACAAAAACAAAGTTAGAAACAAACACAAGAAAGAATAAACGTGGGGACCAGCAGTTAGCATAATGGCTATGTCGCTGAACTCCCATGTAGCCAACCACGGTTCGAGTCTTGGACCCGGTGGCTTAAACTCACGCCAGGCGCATGTGTGTGCGTGCCCAAGATCCCGAGAGGAGAATGGAGGAGAAGGGATTGCGGCATGGCCATCCCCCCAGGGGAGTGATTTCTCACTTTCTATCTCTCTGTCTCTGTCTGGTGAGCGCACACACCCTATAACAAAAACCTCGCCAAAATAAAAATTAAAAAAAAAAGAATAAACATTACTGGCTTGTTTCAGTTATACACAAAGAAGTGCTAGAAAAATAGTGTTTATGATTTTAGTCTAACTACAAAATAAACCTTTTAGAAAGCCCAGTTAATTTTGGAAGTCACCAGTGAAAACTCTACTTGCATGTTGTTAAGCATATTCTGTCTCAATACCCCTCTGTCCATTTAAAAAAATTCTTTCATCACCAGTTCAAAATGAGTAAGTATTAAAGGTCTAAACAGATGACTGCACAATTACACTCACGCCTTCATTAAGTTAAGTCGGTTAAGTCAGTGAGTGAGTTCATTTTTTTTTCAAAGAATTATTTAACTTTATTTACTTATTTTGATTTGACCAGAGAGGGGCGGAGCAAGAGACAGAAAGGGAAAGTGAGAAAGCAAGCCACCAGGTCCGAGACCTGAACCGTGGTTGGCCATGTGGAGTCCAGCACCCTCAACCACCACGCCACCTGCTGGCCCCCAGTGAATTTGTTTTTTTAAAGAAAAGACTCATTTGTGATCCAGAGAATTCTATGGAGCTTCTCTTAGCACGGTGCTTTCTCGAATTGCTATCTTTTTAAAGTCTTCTGAAAAATTTTGTGAGAAACTAACACTGAGATGCATAAACGTTAGACTTTTAAAAGAGAATAAGAAACAATTCATTTTACCTCCTCTGTTGATTTCTGAAGGCAGTGAAGGCGCCATCATATTTGTGTCCATTGGCTGAGAGCCGTCCTGGGTCATGGGGTCTTCAGGAGGCAGGTAAGCGGGTGGGGGTGTATCAGCTGAAAGGTTTCAAAAACATGATTTCTTAACCCTGTATAACACATATATTCCCTCTGTGCTGAAATTCTGATGAAGTCAAACTGACATTTTTAACCTTCCTATCAAAAGACTGGATACTGCAGACACTGGACTTGATGGTGTAATTTCCCCAAGTTGTCACCGTCCCACGGTCTTAGACAATTTTAGTGGAAATTCATTGGGAAGAAAAGTGTCAGTTTTAGAAGTTATCTGCCTATCCAGGATCATGCCATTTAAAAACAATCCGAGTATTTAAATGTACAATTGCCCCTTGGTATTCATGGGGATTGGTTCCCGGCCCCCTGCAGGTACCAAAACCCATGGGTGTCCAAGCTCCTTATAAAATGGTGCAGTATTTGGGCCGGCTTTGTAGACTGGTGGTTAAGGGAGTCACATACAACATAGCTGAACATGGTTTGAGTACTGGCGCTGGTGGCTTGAAAACCACACAGGACACACATGTGCACATGCCCTGGATCCTGACAGGGTGGAGAACTGAAAGAGAACAGATTATGGCGTGGCTATGTCACTAGGGGTGCGCCTCCTCCCTTTTCCTCTGTCTTTCTCTTGCTAGAAGCATGTGCCCCTTGACAATATTAAAAAAGGTACAGTATCTGTACATAACCTATGCACATCCCCTCATATTCTTTAAATCATCTCTAGATTATGTATAATGCCTAACACAAGGTAAATGCAAGGTAAATTGCTATTCTACTGGGAATAAAGACAAGAAGGAAAAGTATGTATGTGTGCAGTTCAGACCCGACAAATTTTCTCCCCTGGATACTTTCAATCCACGGTCGGTTAAATCCATGGACGTGGAACCTGCAATACCGACTGCACTTCTCTGCATTTCATGGTTCCACTGGCAGGAGAAAACCGATGAAAGCTACGTGGCACTTCTTAAGAGAAAACGCTTGAGGTGCTTAAACCAAGGGGCTTTAGGGAATTTACCAATTGAGTTTTATTATAGCTGATCAAACTAGATTTAAATGATTGATTTTCATGACTTTAATAGATCTCTTAGGACTACCTTCTTCCCACCAGTTTAAATAATAACTAGGTTTTTTTAAAAAAGAATTATTTATTTATTATGATTTGTCTTTAACTTGCTATAGGGCACATACACTCACCAGAGAGAGAGAGAGAGAGAGAGAGCCTACCACAGTTTGAGTCCCAACCCAGTGGCTTAAAAACCAGATATATGTATGTGTGTACGTGCCCAGAGTCCTGACAGAAGGAGAAAACTCCAACAAGATAGCATAACCACACCCCATCGTGGGTGCTTTCTCTCTCCCTCACTCTGGTGAGCACAAGCACTGCCTTGCAATTAGACAAAAACAAAGTTAGAAACAAACACAAGAAAGAATAAACGTGGGGACCAGCAGTTAGCATAATGGCTATGTCGCTGAACTCCCATGTAGCCAACCACGGTTCGAGTCTTGGACCCGGTGGCTTAAACTCACGCCAGGCGCATGTGTGTGCGTGCCCAAGATCCCGAGAGGAGAATGGAGGAGAAGGGATTGCGGCATGGCCATCCCCCCAGGGGAGTGATTTCTCACTTTCTATCTCTCTGTCTCTGTCTGGTGAGCGCACACACCCTATAACAAAAACCTCGCCAAAATAAAAATTAAAAAAAAAAGAATAAACATTACTGGCTTGTTTCAGTTATACACAAAGAAGTGCTAGAAAAATAGTGTTTATGATTTTAGTCTAACTACAAAATAAACCTTTTAGAAAGCCCAGTTAATTTTGGAAGTCACCAGTGAAAACTCTACTTGCATGTTGTTAAGCATATTCTTTCTCAATACCCCTCTGTCCATTTAAAAAAATTCTTTCATCACCAGTTCAAAATGAGTAAGTATTAAAGGTCTAAACAGATGACTGCACAATTACACTCACGCCTTCATTAAGTTAAGTCGGTTAAGTCAGTGAGTGAGTTCATTTTTTTTTCAAAGAATTATTTAACTTTATTTACTTATTTTGATTTGACCAGAGAGGGGCGGAGCAAGAGACAGAAAGGGAAAGTGAGAAAGCAAGCCACCAGGTCCGAGACCTGAACCGTGGTTGGCCATGTGGAGTCCAGCACCCTCAACCACCACGCCACCTGCTGGCCCCCAGTGAATTTGTTTTTTTAAAGAAAAGACTCATTTGTGATCCAGAGAATTCTATGGAGCTTCTCTTAGCACGGTGCTTTCTCGAATTGCTATCTTTTTAAAGTCTTCTGAAAAATTTTGTGAGAAACTAACACTGAGATGCATAAACGTTAGACTTTTAAAAGAGAATAAGAAACAATTCATTTTACCTCCTCTGTTGATTTCTGAAGGCAGTGAAGGCGCCATCATATTTGTGTCCATTGGCTGAGAGCCGTCCTGGGTCATGGGGTCTTCAGGAGGCAGGTAAGCGGGTGGGGGTGTATCAGCTGAAAGGTTTCAAAAACATGATTTCTTAACCCTGTATAACACATATATTCCCTCTGTGCTGAAATTCTGATGAAGTCAAACTGACATTTTTAACCTTCCTATCAAAAGACTGGATACTGCAGACACTGGACTTGATGGTGTAATTTCCCCAAGTTGTCACCGTCCCACGGTCTTAGACAATTTTAGTGGAAATTCATTGGGAAGAAAAGTGTCAGTTTTAGAAGTTATCTGCCTATCCAGGATCATGCCATTTAAAAACAATCCGAGTATTTAAATGTACAATTGCCCCTTGGTATTCATGGGGATTGGTTCCCGGCCCCCTGCAGGTACCAAAACCCATGGGTGTCCAAGCTCCTTATAAAATGGTGCAGTATTTGGGCCGGCTTTGTAGACTGGTGGTTAAGGGAGTCACATACAACATAGCTGAACATGGTTTGAGTACTGGCGCTGGTGGCTTGAAAACCACACAGGACACACATGTGCACATGCCCTGGATCCTGACAGGGTGGAGAACTGAAAGAGAACAGATTATGGCGTGGCTATGTCACTAGGGGTGCGCCTCCTCCCTTTTCCTCTGTCTTTCTCTTGCTAGAAGCATGTGCCCCTTGACAATATTAAAAAAGGTACAGTATCTGTACATAACCTATGCACATCCCCTCATATTCTTTAAATCATCTCTAGATTATGTATAATGCCTAACACAAGGTAAATGCAAGGTAAATTGCTATTCTACTGGGAATAAAGACAAGAAGGAAAAGTATGTATGTGTGCAGTTCAGACCCGACAAATTTTCTCCCCTGGATACTTTCAATCCACGGTCGGTTAAATCCATGGACGTGGAACCTGCAATACCGACTGCACTTCTCTGCATTTCATGGTTCCACTGGCAGGAGAAAACCGATGAAAGCTACGTGGCACTTCTTAAGAGAAAACGCTTGAGGTGCTTAAACCAAGGGGCTTTAGGGAATTTACCAATTGAGTTTTATTATAGCTGATCAAACTAGATTTAAATGATTGATTTTCATGACTTTAATAGATCTCTTAGGACTACCTTCTTCCCACCAGTTTAAATAATAACTAGGTTTTTTTAAAAAAGAATTATTTATTTATTATGATTTGTCTTTAACTTGCTATAGGGCACATACACTCACCAGAGAGAGAGAGAGAGAGAGAGAGAAAGTGAGAAAGCGAGGAAGCAAGCTGTCAGGTCCAGGACTTGAACTGTAGTCCAGCGTCTTTAACCACCATGCCTCAATAATCACGAGTTTTTAAATTCCCAATAACGGAATAATAGGAAAAAAATCAGTTCATTACAACTATCTTTTATTCAGAATTTATGTGTGTTTTTCTGAAGAGCACACACCCAGCTGACAAATAAGAGGGAAACAACAGGATTTTTGAAACAAAGGACACTAACACACGTCCTAGGTTTTTGTAACTTAGAATAAAAGGTACAGGTGTCCCATAAACGACCTTTTGTGATCCAAAGATGAGTTCCTCACTGGTTGTCATGTAACCATCTAATTAATATGTCCAACAGAGCCTTGGAGACAAATTTTTACCTTAGAGAGCCGTGAGTACTTGGACAAGTACTGCCGGCCACTCAAGGCAAGAGTGAGCTACAAATAACTAATGTGTGTTGAGTATCCCTTACCCATGAGAAGTGTTTTAGATTTTGAAAAGCTATTGTGGGGCTGGGACCCAAATCTAAACAAAAAATTCATTTATATATCATACACCCCTTACATACATAGATAGACTGAAGGTAATTGTTACACCGTTAATTTTATATTGCAGTGTTATAACTACAACCCATCACGAGAGGTCAGGTGCGGAGTTTTCCACTTGTGGGTATTGGAGCATTTTGGATTTCAGATTTTTGGATTAAGGATCCTCGACCCGCACTGCTCCTTCGGAGTTTCCCCATGATTTCCAAGACTAACTCGCCGGCTGAAGCAGAAGCCAACACCTTCTTCATGCAGCTGCTAAGAAGCAATGACTCAATGCGCTGGGACAAGGGACCTCATCTGGAGGCTGTTTCCACCCTTCTCCAACTTCTTTTAATTCAGCCTCTTCCCTGCAGCTGGAAGGCTGACTCTGTTTCACCTCAAGCCAGGAATGAAGACAGACCTTTCTCTGAGACCAAATCCAATTAATTTCTGCCAACAAGATGGTCAAAATTTCACTGGCAACCTATGGCATCAACACTGCCAAAGGGACCAGACAATTATGGGTGGGGTTCTACCGTTCCCAATATGGAACATTTTCTTGTCTGCATTTTCCTCTGCTTGGCTTTGCCTTAATCCCTGACAACTAGAAACAACTGGAAACAAAGTGTGAATTCAAGCAATAATCTTCCATTTTTTCATTCTTAGGCCCACCTTGGCTTGCCAGTGTTCAAGACTCCTGAAAGTAATCTCCTTGGCACTAACCAGACTGTCAAATCCAACAGGTTTGGGAGGAAGTAGATGAGTAGGCAATCACCGGATGGTATTCGTCTGATTTTTAAACTAGTCTAACTCCAGCCCTCCTCCCACACATCAAGCTTTAGATTGAAAACAAAGCAAATGTGAAATTAACAGGCTTAAAAAAAAAAAAAAGTGAAGTAATAAACATAAACCAAAGGAAGCAACACAGAGATCAATTTTCAGTTTTTAAAACTTCAGCATCAATGTTAAATTCAACTTTACTTGTTAACACAAACATTTCAAGTGGTCCGATAAATATGCCTGCCCACTTTCCCTTCCTAAAATTGTAATAAATGTCATGTATATCTCTATTTAGAATATGCTTCTTGAGATCTACTGGCAAAGAAATCTGGCATTATTATTTTTTTTTCTGAGATGCTTCTTTATTAACCTGTAACTTGAAAAATATGATGCGCTAATTGATCATTTATTTCGATAACCATTACACCATCAGTTATGTCTAAAAGAGAATAATTGCTTTTTGTCTTTGCTAAGTTAAACAAGCAGATGGTTTCCAGTACTTCTGTTGCAATTCCTTTGTTGTTAAGTATATATTTCTTGGGATTACATCACTATTTAAATAAATTTAATTATGTAGGGGAGTGCGGTCCCTCAGGAAATATCTTTTCTGAGGATGCACTTACAACAGGGGATTTCCCATGGATGAAATATTCATCGAGGTTGTGTTTCTCATAAGAGTGAATGTGTCTAACACATTATTTTCCTCTTTCTTTTATCAAGAGCAGAGATTGGAACAATTAGGCCACACCCAGAGGATGCAGCTGTTTCAAAACCTTTCAAAAATAAGGGGAAAATATAGCTTATTTCAGCATCTGTGATGGACAAATAAAACAAAACATTTGCTTACTTAGCTCTGAGGTCTTCTTTTGGCCAAACTGTACCCTAAGAGTGCTACAGCAGAGTGTCAGAGTCTAGAACTGAAGAGTCCCCTCCCTCCCGGGTGGCCCAGCTTCTCCCCAACCCAGTGGTAACACCAGGTGCTCTGACCACAGATGTCCTGCACATCCCGACCTACCTGGCATCTGGAAAGGGCTCCCTGGGTCTGAGCTGGTGGGCGAGTGAGGATAGGTGCTGCTGCTGCTTCCGGGGGAGTTGGGGTAACTGCTGTTGGGAGAATGAGGAAACGGGTGGCTGTTGGGTTGCTGGAAAGAATCCGGAAAAGTGGCGTTGAGTGGCATGTGAGGCTCGTTTTGTCCCAAGTTTCGGAACTGGGCTAAGAGGCTGTGCTGAGGATTGTATTCGCTGTGTCTAGGAACCAGCACTGGAGGAAGAACTGGAAAAAGGGAGAGAGAAAAAAAATAAAGATGAGAATGATGACAATCTCCACACAAAGTAAGTGATAACAAATTAGCTGAAGCCTGCCCTGCCCCTAACATGAAAGCACCGCTCTCAAGTGAAGTCATTTTACTCTCAGGAAAACGCGCAGGAACAGTCTGTGGAATCACTGATGCCACTGCCTGAGGTCTGCACTCTGCCCCAGGAAGTGCTGCCTGATGCATTCTGTGAGCCTGGAAAGTGGTAGGTGCCCCCGACTAATTTTTTCATTCACTCCACACCTAAGTTCCATTAAGAATATACACCACCACCAATTCCACCGTAAAGCCCTGCAGATAAGAATTACATTGAAGAGTTAACATTTACTGAATGATCTGAATTAATCACCACGAATGCTTTGAGTTGACAAAGCAGCAGTATAGTGAATGAGGTTGGGGTAAATGCAGTGAGCAGTGTAAAATTCAAAAGCCAGTCAAGAGAGTTGGTTACACAAATCGGCATGTTTTGTTGGACAGATTTTAAGTTGTGTGCGGTCCTAGTGCCCACACTGTTTTCCTAGGGATCTTAATATATTTTACCCACTTCTCAGTAATCCTTACTCTACATGGTAGGTCCAGGAAGAAACAGGCCATACCATCCATACTTTGCTTAACGAAACTCAAGATATAGAGGTGGTTAAGGTGCTGGATTCCCACAGGGAGGACGACCACGCCACAATCCCTTCTCCTCCATTCTCCTCTTGGGGTCTTGGGCACGCACGCACATGCGCCCGGCGTGAGTTTAAGCCACCGGGTCCGGGACTCGAACCGTGGTCAATTACATGGGAGTTCAGCGACATAGCCATTACACTAACTGCTGGTCCCGGTCCCTTCTTTTTGAAAAAAAAGGAAAAAAAAAGATATAGAGGCTCAAAACTAGGTAGCTGTTGAGAAGCAAACAACTGTCACTCTGAAAACTTAAGTGAGGAACCTAAGGCGTTAATAATGAGCCTGGTCATCAGTCTTCGGAAACCTCCTGAGGCAAAGCCACCAGAAATAGAATGATCCTAGAAGGTTAGGGCTGGCTAATAGTTACAGATCCCTGGTACTCGAACTGGGTTCCAGCCTGAATTTCCTTCCTGCCAGGGTCACCCAATGGCTTCTCCTAATAGTAAAGGCCTTTGGAATTCCTCTTCCTCTGTTGCCCCTCACTAGGAAGAGAGAAATATCTGTGTCCAGTGAAATAGCCATTACGCTAACTGCTGGTTCGGGAAAATGCACTCTTTAACACTTGAGTCACCACTTATGAGCTGAGAATAGGTTTTAAGTAAAAAATGGGTTTTTGAAAGTATTCAAACTTCTCATAACCTATATCTTAAATTCTTACAAAATCCTGTGGCAGTCAAATTTGCTGATTTCCTTACTGTTTGATCCTTTACAAACATTTTGAATACAAGTTCATTTTCTTTTTAGCACAGTGACAGAACTGCCCAAACCGAGTCATTAAAATCATGATAATTTTGGGACCAGCAGATGGCATAATGGTTACACATAGCCAACTGCAGTTTGAGTCCCAGACCCGGTGGCTTGAAACTCACGCCGGGTATGTGTGCGTGTGTGCCCAAAATCCCAAGAGGAGAATGGAAAAGAAGGGACTGTGGTGTGGCCATTCTCCCTGGGGGGGTGATTTCTCGCTGTCTCTCTTTGTCTCTCTGGTGAGCACAAATGCCCTATAATAAAAATCTCTCCTGCCCAAAAAAAAAAAAAAAAAAAAAAAAAAAAAAACAAGGACCAGCAGATGGCGTACTGGTTATATTACTAAACTCCCACGTTTAGTTGATTGTGGTTTGAGTCCTGGACCTGGTGATTTAAACCTCAGGCAAGGCACATGTGCTTGTGTGCCCAAAATCCCAAGAGGAGAAGGGATTGGAGCATGGTCATCCCCTCTGGGGGGTGATTTCTCACTTTCTGTCTGTCTTTCTGGTAAGCACACACACTCTATGGCAAAAAAAATCTAAAAAAAATAAGAAAATACAAAGGCAGTATTGGAATAGCTGGTTTAAATACACATCATAATTTCTCCTTTTCAACAGTCATCTCACATGTACACTACTTTGTTCTGTTGAAGAATTCCTAAGAAAGGCTCCCCCCAATGCCAATAAAAATCTGAATTCCAAAAGTAAGCACATATTGTGAGACGGTCCCACACCAGTCAGTCCCTGTGCAATCATGAACATTCCGTCAGTAGTTGTAGCCTGAGACTTACCACTCCCAGCTCACCTCTGGTCATCTAGCTATGGTTCCAACCACAATCCTTACCCTTAAAAGAGGCAAATGTTGGGGCCAGCACGTGGCATGGTGGTTAAGGCACTAAACTCCTACATGGTGGGTCATGGTTCAAGTCCAGGACCTGGCAGCTTGCTTTCTCACTTTCCTTCTCTTTCTTTTTCTGTCTCTCCCTGGTTGAATTAAAAATAATAATAATAATTTTTTAAAGAAGCAAATGTTGGTCTTTATACCCCTGCCTACAAATGCAGCACCAGAGAATGACCTGAATCAATCCTCCGTCTCCTCTATGATCCCTCCCTCTCACTACACACACAGATAACACTGCCTGGAGAGACTACTTTAGGGGTTCTTATCGTCTAATAGAGTTTAGTATTTTTTATGTCTCTCTTTCTCTCTCTCTAAATTGCCAGATGTTGTATGCACTAGCCAGAGAGAGACAAGAGAGATGAGGTGAGAGGGGAAGAGTCACCTGTGGGCATGGTCATGTTGCAATCCCTTCTCCTCCATTTCTCCATCCTGTTGGGATTCTGGGGGCACACATACACCTGGAGTGTTTTTCAAGCCACTGGGATTGGGATTCGAACCATGGCCAGCCTTGTATGATCCAGCTCCCTTAACCACTAGGCTACAGGGCCAGCTCCCAACAGTGTTAGAACAGAGGACTTGTCCCTAGTGCCTGCAGAGGGGGGCAGTTGTGGCAGGGAGAATTAACCTTTGCAGTACCCCAGCAAGGGTCCACGTGTCTCTGCATCCAGGCTAAACAAGACTCAGTGGTCCTCCGAGGACCCTGCTGTGTGATGCGCAGTGATTTGCTCTAGAGCCCAGTGCTGTCCTCAGCGCACAACACAGGTCTGACCAGCTTTCGCAAATACCTGGGAAATACGTCACCGAGTGCAACAAAGCAGCACCCTCAGAACAAATCTAACAAGAAGAGTAACTTTTCTTCTCAATTCTGATTATAGAGGTAGGATGAGAGACCAGCAGTTGGCATAATGGCTATGTCGCTGGACTCTCATGTAGTTGACCATGATTCGAGTCCCGGACCCAGTGGCTTAAACTCACACTGGGCACGTGTGCGTGCATGCCCAAGATCCCAAGAGGAGAATGGAGAAGGGATTGCGGCGTGGCCATCACCCCTGGGGGGTGATTTCTTGCTTTCTGTCTGTCTTTTTGGGCGCACGTGCCCTATACAAAAAAAAAAAAAACTCTCCAAAAAAAGGTAGAATGATTTTGCCAGCGCCAATATAGGCACAGTCATCTTTCAGTAAACTTAAAAATGTACTGAAGTGTTTCATGTCCTTAGGAAAATGCACGAATCTTCATATAATAGATTCGTATATACTAAGGTCTGTCTTTGTGTGTGTGAAGCATCTTTTTTTTTTTTTTTGAGAAGTTTTTGCTATAGGGCACGTGCGCTCACCAGAAAGACAGAGAGAGAGAGAGAGACAGAGACAGACAGACAGACAGAAAACAAGAAATCACCCCCCCAGGGGATGGCCATGCCACAATCCCTTCTCCTCTCGGGATCTTGGACACTCACACACACATGCCTGGCATGAGTTTAAGCCACCGGGTCTGGGACTTGAACTGCGGTCAACTACATGGGAGTCCAGCGACATAGCCATTACGCTAACTGCTGGTCCCTGTGTGAAGCATCTTACAACACGTGTGTATTTCAAGTTATTTGTGATACAGTTTCACTGTCTGCTGATGAGTAAGAGGAGCTCCTCCTTATCCATGGTTTCAGTTCCCAGTCAACCCCGGTCTGAAAACACTGCGAAAGCGGGAGGGAGGGAGGGATGGGCCACATTGATGTAATGTCCATTTGAGTAAAATAGTTTCATTCTATGTCTAGTTATTGTTAATCTCTTACTGTGTCTAATTTACAAATTAAGTTGTATTGCAGGTATGTAAATACAGGAGAAACAGGATGTAGACAGTTCTGTGCTAGCCATGGTTTCAGGCAGCCACAGGGAGTCCTGTGATGTATCCCCGGCAGTTAAGGAAGAATCGCTGTTTTTTGTTATCCCAGTTTGGAGCAATTATAATAAAGCTGCTGTGACCATTCTCTTTATTTAACTTATTTTGAAATAAGTTAAATAATAATTCAACTTACAAAAAAGTTGCAAGAATAGCATAAAGAATGCTTACATGCTCTTTACCCAGATTCTCCAGTTTTTAACACTTACCACATTTACTTAATCGTTTATCCTGTCTTCCTTCCCCCTTCCTCCAAACACACACACTATCTCTCGCTCTCTTTTTCCACATCATCTGAGAGCAGAGAACATGTATCATATAACATTTCAGAGTATTTCCTAAAAAGAATACTAACTTGTGTGCAGTTATTAAACTGTGGAATTCAACCGATATAATTCTAATATAAAAATAATAGTCCCACTTTGTCTACTGTTCCAACAATGTCCTATATGTCCTGACTGCCTAATAGCGGATCTAGGCAGAAATCTTATCATACTTTGTTATCAAATTTCTTTAATGCCCTATAGTCTGGAATAGTTCCTCAACCTGTTTATAGCTTTCATGCTTCTGGCATTTTAAAATACAGGGCAGTTATTTTATAGGCTCTCTCTTGAGCTGGTTTCTCTGATGTTTCCCCATGATTAAGCTCAGATTTGCTGCAACTACAATGGAAGTGCTATTATGCCCTCCTCTGGGTGTACATCAGGAAGCAAACCGTGCCTCTTTGCCTGTTACTGATGATGCGAATCTC